ATATTGTCTACTCGGTACCAACAAACTGTTCTCTTAATACTCGAACTAACAAGTTAATTATTAGATTTAGGTCCCTTCTTGCATCTTGAGTGCCACTATGTCTGTTGAGCGAGGAACGTAGCGTTAACACGCAACGATTTCATTTAAGACCACACAGTAGTCTGAATATGCACGGTGAGCGCTAACTCAGAAAAATAGCAAGAAGGGACCTAAATCTAATAATTAACTTGTTAGTTCGAGTATTAAGAGAACAGTTTGTTGGTACCGAGTAGACAATATATAACTTCGGCACTATTCAACTATTACTAAACCAGTCTTCCGAAATCAGGCCAGTTTTTTACGGACTTTTTTCTTTCAGGGGGCAGATTGGCTGAAAATTTGCTTCCAAGGGTGATTTGTTCCCCTGAACATCCGCTTGGTCTGAAATTGATGTCCGCGCCCACAGGCGCAGGTGCCAAGCTCAGTACTAGATTTGCTGAAAACTCGTCCCTAGGGCTAGTTTGATCTGCTGAACGTGAACGTGGCATCCGCCTGGAGCGGGCGCCAAAATGTCCTAAACCACCAAAGTCAATGAAAACTTGTGCATGGGGGTCATTTGACATCATTACCTCATTCGTTCTTGGCACCGGCGCTAATGGGAGACACTACGCCCTACGCGGAGTTGATGCTGAGCCTGGTCGAAAATCATTCCTTCTCCCAGGCTCAACCTTGGCAGGGAGCTAAATCCAATTATTGCAAAATTTATGATCAGGGCATCAAACAACCCCATTACGCAAGTTTTTATCGATTTTAGTGACAAAGGGTGGTGCGCCATAAAGCATCAGGGTTGAAAATGAATGTCATGTTCTCCATCAGGGCACCGAACAACCCCAGCATGGAGCTTTATACCGATTTTGGTGAGAAAAATGGAGGTGCTAAATTGGCGCCTAGCGTCAAAAGCGAGTGTCACACTAGTGATCAGGGCATCGAATAACCCGTATAGGCAAAGTTTCGGCGAATTATTATTGGGGGTTCACAGTTGAGTAGCGATATCTTCTTACTAGAAGCAACCACGAGAAGTCTTGCTGAAAAGATGGAAGGACGTCGTCTAGAAGTATATCACTGAAAAGGTCACGGCTGATGAGAGAGCGGGTGAGGAAGTGGCCGCGTCTAACAGGAGCAGCGGACTCCACGACGGCGGGTAGCG